TTGAGCACCTCTACACCCACCTCTCTCAGGAGTTGCTGGTGGTCTCAGCCACCAATGAGAAAGCACCAAGGGCAACAGCTGTCTACCTTGCAGTCAAAGGCTGCTACAAATCTTGACCTGTTGCAGAAAGCTTTATTCGATGGTTGGCCCGCGTTTCAGGATTGCTAACTGCAGGGATTGTTAGGGTGCTAGGACTTCAACTTCTGGGGTATGGTATATTAAAAAGAGACAGATGGCCAGAGCATGTGAGACAGGAATTTCTTGCCTTGTTGAAGAGGGTAAATTAGTGGCTAGAACCTCACTTCAGGTGGGGGTGGACACTGCCAACTCTGCTGCTAGGGTCACGGCATCAGCCATTATGATTCACAGATGTTCATGTCTCCAGTCGCCAGGTTTCCCTCGAGATCCAACAGACCATACAAAACCTTCCTTTTGAAGGGTTGTGCTCTTCTCTGAGCAGACTGACAGGCTGCATAACCTGATATTAGGGCATTTAAAAGCAGTTTTGTCCTCAGGAACCACTTCACTAGTTGCTTTCACTCCTCACCACCATGATCCAACGAGGAAAAAGAATAGAGGTTATTGGAGACTTCCCCCTTCTTCTGCAGCAGCTTCTGGCTCATCCAGACAGACTAGGAGTTCTAAGCAAATATTTTGATGTTTATGTCAAGGACAGCATAGCACCTTCCATCATGCCAACCTGTCCTACCCCTCTGTTTACCAGCCTGCTATGTACCTGCTCAAATGCTTGGTCTCAAATCATTGCAGACCAGTGGGTCTTAAGTACAGTGGAATTGAAATACACCCTTTAGTTCATTTCCGTCCCCCCTTTTCCAAGCCCAGGGTGACCAGATGTCCTGATATTTGGGGTTTTGTCTTAGCTAGGCACCTATATACCACCCGCCCCATTCTGATTTTTCACACTTGCTATCTGGTCACCCTATCCAAGCCACTTCCCAGTCTCTCTTCAGGGACCACTCTCATGAGGAAGTTCTGCTTTGGGAGGTGCAATCTCTCCTCCATTTGGCAGCCATAGAGGAGGTTCCGCAGTTTCTCATAGAAAAAGGATTTTATTCCTGCTATTTCCTGATCCCAAAAGCAAAAGGATACCTCAGACCCATACTAGACCTGCAATAGCTCAACAGACCTCTCTGGAAAAAGAAAGTTTTACATTGAAACTGCTGAACTTGAATTAATATGCAAATTAGATACAATTAACTTAGGTTTGAGCAGAGACTGGGAATGGTTGGGTCATTACACTAATTGAATCTATTTCCCCATGTTAAGTATCCTCACACCTTCTATGGGTCATCTCGATTATCACTTCAAAAGTTGTTTTTTTTTTCTCCTGCTGATGATCGCTCATCTCAATTGATTGGCCTCTTACAGTTGGTATGGCTACTTCCACCTTTTCATGTTCTCTGTATGTATAAATATCTTCTTTCTGTGTGTTCCATTCTATGCATCCAATGAAGTGGGCTGTAGCCCACGAAAGCTTATGCTCAAATAAATTTTTGAGTCTCTAAGGTGCCACAAGTACTCCTGTTCTTTTTGCAAATACAGACTAACATGGCTGCTATTCTGAAACTTACATTGTCATGTTGTCTTCCATTATCTCTTCCCTGGAGATGGGTATGCTGCCGTCAATTTGAAAAACTCATGTTTTCATGTGGCAATACATCAGAGCCCCAGGAAATTCCTGAGATTTGTGGTCAACCAAAGCCATTACCAATTTGCATGCCTACCGTTTGGCCTGTTCAGCTCCCTAGGTGTGTTCACAAACTGTGTGGCAGTGATGGTGGCATTCCGCAGAAAATCAAGATTTCAAGTTTTTTACCTACCTGGACAATTGGTTGGGAGAGGCCAGTCCAAGACTCAGCTGCTGTCCAGCGTGACTGTCATCCAGTCTATCTTTGATACACTAGGGTTGCTTATCAGCACAGAGAAGTCAGTCCTGTCTCCAGTGCAAAAAATAAAGTTCATAGGAGTAGTCTTGGACTCTGCAGAAGCCAAGACATTTGTCCCTCAATTACAATCTTCCAGATGATGCTGGCCATCCTTTAGACCTGAAGAGTCATCCCACCATGACAATATGAAATTGCCTCAGGCTTCTGGCCTCATGCATTTATGTAGTCCAGCATGCCAGGCTCCATCTCAGGAAATGGCAAGGATGGATGGCTTCAGTTTACTTGCCAATTCATCTCCCTCTACACGTGGTAGTGCAAATGCCCACTCAAATTCTGGCCAGGCTGGGCTGGGGGACAGACCCCTTTATTGTGTGTCTGGGGTGCCATTTGCTTCTCCTCAACCAGCTTTAACCCTAGTTAGAGATGCTTCTGCCCTCAGGCAGGTCTCACTTGGGTTTTCTGCAGACAGAAGTTTTATGATCTACACAGGATTTAACTCTGCAAATAAACATCGGAGAATTGAGGGCCATTCGACTAGTTTGTCAAGTCTTCCTTCCTCATATCAAGAGAAGTCTACATGTACTTACAGACAAGGAGGACCTTGTTCACTCTGCTATGCCAAGAGTCATTCAGGCTGTGGGACTTGTGCATCGCCAATTTTTATCAACCTCAGATCCTTTCACGTTTCAAGTGTGAAGAATGGTCTGGCAGACTGGTTAAGCAGATCATTTACCAGTCATGATGAGTGGTCTGTCCATCAGGACATTGCCACATCCATTTTGTGGCGGTGGGGGACTCCCTATGTAGACTTCTTTGCAACATAAGTCAGCAGGAAGTATAATTGGTTTTGTTCTCAACAAGGTCACAGTCCAGGGTCCCTCACGGACACTTTCCTGTTGCCTTGGGCAAGTGTGCTCCTGTATGCATTTGCTCCACACCCCCTCATACCAAGAATATTGTTGAAAATGAGGCAGGCTCATGCCCAAGTCAAAGTCACAGCTCCAGCGTGATATCAGCAATGCTGGTTTTCCACTCTGCTGTCCCTCTCAGTCAAAGATCCGCTGTCTCTACCACCGGATCAAGACCTGGTTTCCCAGGACCACAGTCACCGCCTCCTCCCCAACATTCAGGTCCTCCACCTGACAGCCTGGATGCTCTGTGGGTAATGCCCCAGGAAGAGGTTTGTTCAAAGGAAATTCAAAATCCACTTTTAAAGAATAGGAAACCATACACTAAGTATACTTATCTAATGAAATGGAAGCGATTCTCCATCTTGTCCCACTAGAAAGGGGTTTCCCAAGTCCAGTTTCCACTACATCATATTCTGGGCTATCTGTTGTTCCTGAAACAATGTCTGGCTGTTAGTCTCATTAAGGTTCATTTAGCAGCTATTTTAGCTTTCCACACTCCAGTTGATGATTCTGTTTTTTCCCCCAACCCTATGTCAATAAGGTTTTTGAAGGGTTTGGAAAGGTTGTACTCTCAGGTAAAGGATCCTGTTCCCCCTTAGGACTTGAGCTTGGTGGTGTCAAAACTTATGGGTGCTCCCTTTGAATTGTTAGCTATATGTTCCTTATTGTGTGTCTCAGGGTACTCTTTTTGGTGCTACTCACTTCTGCCAGGAGAGTAGGTGAATTGTATGCTCTGTCTTCTCCTCCGTACACTGTCTTCTACAAAGACAAGGTTTATTTAGGTCCACATACAAAATTTCTTACTAAGGTGTGTCTCATTTTCATATCAGTCAAGCAATGTACTTACCTTCTTTCTTCCCGAAGCCTCGTGCTCCTAAGGATGAAGAGAGACTCCACGCTTTGGATATCAGGAGAGTGTTAGTGTTTTACTTGGACAGGACTAAACAGTTTAGATCATTCTCACAGTTGTTTGTGGCAGTTGCAGACAGGAGGAAAGGTCTCCCAGTCTCTTCTCAAAGGAACTTGAATATCCTCCTGTATACGCTTGTGTTATGACTTGGCCAGTGTAGCTTCACTAAGCAGAATACAAGCACATTCATCTACATCACATGCAGCCCCTGTGGCTTTCCTAGCTCATGTGCCTGTCCTAGACATTTGTAAAGCAGCAACTTGGTCTTCAGTGCATACCTTTACCTCACATTGTTGAGACTCAGCAATCTAGAGATGATGCCATATTTGGGTGTGTGGTCATCCAGTCCTTATTCAGGTAGGCTCCAAGCTGGAGCGAACTGCTTGTGAGTCACCTAAAGTAGAATGGATATGTGCAATCACTTGAAGAAGAAACAGTTACTAACCTGTTTCGTAACTGTTGTTCTTGGACATATGTTGCATGTGTCCATTCTACCATGTGTAAATAAAGTCTGAAAAATCTCCCAAATCCATAATCAAAGGGGGTGCTGAATGTAAAAAAAGTGCTTGAGTTAAAGATATTAACAGACAATTTTTAATCATCTGAATACTTCCATGTCAATTCATATGATTTCATTTGTTTTATGTTTCTGATGTCAAACCCTACTAGGTCTTCAATTGTCCATAGTCCTTAAGGAAAAGCACTCTTTTAGGGTAAACAAGACCTGAATTTCTAATATTTAAAAACTTAGTAGGTTGTCACTGTGCATCAAGAGAAGGGGGAGGAGGGGCACGGGGCACAAACCCATTTTTTAATTTTGCATGTCACCTTTACAAACAAATACAGTTGTTTTTTACAGGGATGGTCTAAAAACTTAAGAAAACTATAAAAGCTGTCTTTTAATTTTGTATTACACCGCAACTAAATGTGAATTATTTTATCTTCGGTGTGAATGTTGTTTTTCACAAATCAGGTTTTTGCCTATACATTTTTTTAATATGCCAAAAAAAAGAAAGAAAAAGAAAAGAAAAGAATACTTTAAGAGATTCCATAACTTATTCTGTTATAGTATGATGGGTTTTTTTTCCCCCTGGGGCACCTGTTCACAACAAGTCTGATTTGTCTACAGAGAAATCCTAACATTTAAATGAAAATTCTTATTGAATTATCTCTGTTTAAATATATGAAAACCACAGTATTTAGCCAGACCCATAGACATTCTATTAAGACATATTGGATAAAGGATTAACTACTATTTTTGTTTTGTTGCAGGGATCTCTCCAAAGTTAATATCCTGGTACCTGGTGCTGGGCTAGGTAGATTGGCCTGGGAAATAGCTATGCTCGGTTATGCTTGCCAAGGAAATGAATGGAGCCTCTTTATGCTCTTTTCTTCTAATTTTGTACTCAACAGGTACTTAGCTTATATTTTACTTGCTGGTTGCAACCTATGTGTACTAGGGAGGCAAAAATCAGTGACCAATCCTTTAACAAAGTAATAACCAATCAAAATAAATTCCAAAATCCCTAATCTAGGTAACCAGATCTTTTAGATCTCTTGCTTTCATGTAAATGTCTGGAAGAGGGTAGGAGGGAGGAACGGGAGATTATTCCAAAATTTGACTTGGAAATTTATTATAGCCATACCTGTATGTCATAAAGATTGTAGAAGCAAGAATTGCCTTGTGGTTAAAGCACTGAACTGGAACTCAGGAGATCTGGGCTCAGCCACAAATTTCTTGTTTGAGCTTGAGTAAGTTATATAATTTCTATGCTTCTGTTTTAAATCTGTAAAATGGACGTACTTCTCGTCTCATAGAGATGTTGAGGATAAATTTGATTCATATGTTCAAGGAGTTCTGATACTATGGTGATAAGCACCAAAGAAAATTTATAAATAAAAATAAAATAGGTTGCATTTATTACTAAAAGTTAAGGCAAATTTCTACAAGTATTTATTTAATTTTATGTATACGTTTTTTGTTTGACAGAAAAAATTATTAATAGATGCCTCATTGCTATTAAAATATCAAAACACTTATTAGGCAATCTTTCTCATCCAGCAGCTGCATACACCTTCTAATTACTCAGGTTCACAGCGGTAGAATCCACTATAAATGTTAAGTTTAAGTGAGGCTATGATCAGAAAAATTATCTTATAAGCATTACACCACATGTATAATTAGAAGCATGACATGTTGATGTCCCATGTTCATTTTCCATTAATGACAGATATTAGTCATGTTGCTGAACGCACTACTGGAAGGCGCTCGGCTTCTATGTTAATGAGCGCAGTATAAGAACCTATATAGAATAGAATGATTTCCATAACTAATCTTCAGTTGACAAGGCAAAACAATACTGAATCAGGAGTGCTCCAATCTTTCTTTATCCAAGTGTCAAGCTGCTTTCTGTTTTGTACCTCACCAGCTATCTCCAACAACATATTATCTGAAAAATGATATGAGCAGGAATCTGGTGCCATTTTTAGGCCGTTTCTGGCTAATGCCCTAAATTTCATTTAGAAAGATTTCACTGCAGAAGCTCTAAATTCAGAGTCTGTTCCAGAAAGATTATAAAAGCTTCACATATGAAGTGAGTTGCTAACCATCTTTTTATCATTCAATATTTTCTCTTTTGGTACTTGCATTTTTATTTACTGACTTTTAAAAAAACAAACAAACCCTAGTGCTTAATTTAGTAAAAAGGACTCTTATGGATTATATCTAGATTTAAAGTGTAGATAGCATTCCTCTCTTTTCCTTTGTCCATGTCTTGTTTATCACATTTTGAAAAGAAAAAATTAAGTTTCAAAACCATGCTGGTAATGTAGGTAGTTTTTAATGGATACTAAAATCCTATCTAATTGTTTGCCTTTAGCATCTACTCAAACCACTTCCATACTTCTAAACTGATATGGATTATTAATGAGTAATTAAAATCACATTCCTCTCAGACATGCTTGCCATCAAACACTTGGTTCAGATTTGTATTTAAGTGAATGAAGTTAACATTTGATTCAAAAGCATTATTGTATGCAAATTTAAGAACCATGGGAATTTGATGGGGAAGCGGAGAGAGAGGAGTGGTTGGCTATTATCACAGTCCCAGCAAGGAAATAGCCAATCCTACTACCAATGAGCTGTTTAGAAGGAGAACAGAAGGTGGATTTGGTGGGTGGGGAGATATCAAGATACAATAGTTGTTCTTATCCTGAGTTGGAATGCCAGCAAGTATATGGAAGGATATCACATTTTTTTTTATCTCCCAAGGTTCAAAAGGAACCAGATTGCCAGTAGACTGGCTCATCTGTCTGAAGCGACACATACCTGTGAAAACACTTAATACTTTGATTCTTATACTTAATTTTTTTTATTATTTTATTACTGTAGCACCCAGGAACCTAGTTATGGACCAGGACGCCACTGTGATAGCATTGTACAAACAGAGAACAGAAAAATGGCCCTTGCCCCAAAGAGTTTATCGTCTAAGGTTGTGTACACACTGCAATTAAAAACCTTTGACTGGTCTGTGCCAGCTGACTTGGGCTCAGGCTAAGAGGTTGTTTAATTGCGGCATAGACATTTGGGCTTAGGCTGTAGCCTGAGCTCTGGGACCCTGCAAGGTAGGAGGGTCCCAGGAGGGCCCGAGCTACAACGTCTACACTGCAATTAAACAGCCCCTTAGCCTGAGTGAGTTGGCACAGTCCAGCCATAGGTCTAATTGCAGTGTAGACATACAAGTATAAACAAGAGCCAACAGATGTATACGTACAAACAGGGGAGAGGAGGGAATAAAAGGAAATAATTACTGTGTTGTTCATCATGATAGGGAGTGATATCTGGTGGTTGGGAGACTGCTTATGTTCAGTATTCCCACTTTTATCATTCATAAATGAGTAATCTCTCTTAGATGTGTAGATTTCTTGTGTTGGGTTGAGACCCCTAAATGCAAAGTCCCCTCCCGTATAAAAATCATAAAAAGGTCTGGAAAGGACTTCAAGAGGTCATCTAGTCCATCCCCCAATTAGTTATGTGGTATAATTAACATATTCTGTAACCCACTGGTTCTTCAAGTAACGTCCCTATGGGCGTTCCATTCTAAGTGTGCTTGAGCCTCCTGTGCCTTTGATCAGAGATTTCTCGTAGTAGTGTCCGTTCAGCCTGCACATGCATGTTACTTAGTCTCATGCTCTGTGCTGTTATATAGCACTGCGCGGGTGAACCGCCTTCAGTTCCTGCTCAACCTTCTCGGCCTCAGATAGAGCCTTAGCAGTTGTCTGTGTTTTTACCTCCACTGTGTCCCATTGGTTTTTTTTTTTAGTAGTTAGTACTTAGTAGTAATTTTGGCTGTAGCTAGGGAATATATATAGCTATTTTTCTTAGTACCCTTTAGATAGTTTTTCCCCTCCTGTGAGTTTGATTTTTCTCTGAGGGCATGCTGGGATCTCCTGGTCTCAAATGTTGCCTGTCGTGCCAGGAGGCAATCCCAATGAGTGATGGTTAGTCCTGGTGCATCTGTTGTCTCAGAGAATCTCCTATTTCCCAAAAGTGCTGTCTGGCATTAAAATCTAGAGCCAGAAAAACAGAGAGATCAAACTTCGACTCCTCATGATGAAGAGCTCACTGCACCTGGCCTCTGCCCCTCGCCAGGGGACTCCCTGTGTACACCAGTCTGTGAATAAGTCTGCTGCCTTCACTGTTTCTGAACTGCGGTCCTTGAGGGCATCTAAAAGGAAGACCCAAGATTCCTCCCATAATATTCACAAAGACCGTCCCTCGAGATTCTTCATGTAGCAAATCTGCCTCTAAGAAGCTGTGGTCTTGGATGACTCCTGTACTTCAGCACCCATTGCTTTCTGACCTGGTACCCACAAGGCTGCTGATTCCTCAGGTACTGTCAAACCTGAAGACTGTAGAGAAGAGGTCCCCAAACTGTGGGGTGTGTCTGCTGGGGGCAGGGACATGGAGGAACGTGGGGGGGAGAGGGGAGAGTGTGGCTAGGGCCCAGGCCAGCCCCCAAAGGGGGTGGGAAGGGAGAGCCACCTAGCTCCTGGCCCTGTGCCTGGGGCCCTGGCTGCCAGCCCAGCCTCCTTACCGCTGTCTGCACATTCCACCACCCACCCCCAGAGCCACGGCCCCACTTCCAGCCAGGGCGCAGATGGGTAAAGGGGGGTGTGATCCTGAAAAGTTTGGGGACCACTGCTGCTGAGTCTTAGGCTCCAGGAGGTCGGTGATACTATCAGTGGAGCAAGGCTTCAAGAAGAGCTCTCTCGCTTCTCACCCAGTACTGGAGAAGCACACTCAGCTCTGTATTGTCCTCGGAGCAGTTGAGATTCATGGTACTGTCAACTCCTTCAGCCACTATTATTTCAGCGCAGACTATGGACATGGTACCGACAACACTTGGTATCACAGGAGTTTTGCTTTCTCTGTGACTTTGCTGTGTCCGAGATGCCCAACTCATCATTACATGGCTCCGATTTACTCCTATTACTGAGGACTTCTAGATCTCCAGACATTCACCCAGTATTGACGGTTTCATCTTTCTTCCAGAACTCCACAGCTACAGAGTGATTTGGAAGAGGATGATTCTGATAAAGATCTTGCCTCAGTCTCCCAAATATCTCTGCAAAGCTTTCCCTCTGTTCCTATTGAGGCTCTTTTCCAGAGATGTCTGAGGAGATTGGTGTCACTTGTCAGAAATGGCCCCGACCACTGTTTCGCTGGTATGAACACCCATGGATGCCTCCACCCATGCCATGTGCACCACCTCTTTGGCCATACCGGGACTTTTGGGCAGCCTATCATCAGCAATTTTCTAGGCCTTGAGAACCACTACTCACAAAGACAGAGTCATCACCCTCCCTCCCTAGGAGACCAGAACTGCAGGAAGAAACCTTTTGAGGAACAGGGAGCTAGGGCTGATGAAAAGGTCTCTCTACCAGCTGACATCTCTTCTTCATCCCTGGATGAGGCAGCTATGCCACCTCTTCCCTCCCTGGTGGATGACTTCAAGCAGTTTCAGGAACTTGTCAGTAGAATTGTGGATTCTTTGCAGATTCCTCCTGAGAGGTTAAAGAGCCACATCATAAGCTGCTTGACATCCTTCATACAGCTCCATCTGTTATCTTGGCTGTTAGAGGCCCTACTGGACTCTGCAAAGGTTATATGGCACACCCTCGCTACCTACATGCAAGGGAGCAGATAAGAAATATTCAATCTAAGGACTCCAAATTTTTATTTTCTCATCCCTTTTCGAACTCCTTGGTGGTTGATGCAGTTAATGAATGTGGGAGGCAGCACCATGCTAAATGTATGACCTACCACAAGGAGCATAAGCACCTTGACCTATTGAATAGAAAATCGTATTCGTCAGTACTTTGCAGTTCAGAATCGCCAACTACCAGCTGTTAATGGCAAAGTACAATCGTACAAATTATGTCAAGCTGAACTCATTTATTGAGCATCTACTAACAGAACATAGAGAGTAATCCAGCCAATTATTGCGGAAGGCCAGCTGCTCAGGCTCTGCAGGCTCCCTCGATGGTGCTGATACTACCGCCTGTTCGACTTGTACAGCAGTAGTTATGAGGCGGGCCTGCTGGCTCCAGCTCTCAGGATTTCTAAAGCAGGTCGAAAATACAGTCGAAGACCTCCCTTTTGATAATACTAAATTATTCACTCACCGCATGGATGAATCTCTGCATACATTAAAGGACTCCAGGGCTACTTTGCATTCTCTCAGGATCCAAAAGAGAGAGCTTAGTAATTTCCTGTTGGTGAAGAGATTTCATCCTGCCCAATTCTCGAGCTCCCCCAGATACCATATGAACCTCAGTGAAAGAGAGGTTCCAGGGAAGAAAACCACCTACTTCTCAACCTTTACCACTCCTGGCAGGCTTGGGAGTCAATCACTATGGACAAGTGGGTTTTGGAGATCAACTCCATAGGATACTCCATCCATTTTACTTCTCTTCAGCTTGCCAACACCCCTTTCCTGACCCTCTTCAGGGACACCTCTCACAAGAACCTGCTACAAAACTAAATATGCTCTCTCCTCTTCTTGGGTGCTGTAGAATTGGTTCCTGTGCAGCACAGAGGGAGAGTGTTTTATTCCAGGTATTTCCTGGTATTTGGTATTTCCAAAAAAGAATGGGGGTTAGACCTATCCAAGATATAAGGCTACTAACACCTTTGTGAAGGCCCAAAAATTCAAAATGGTGACACTTGCAGCAATAATTCTGTCACCGGACCAAGGGGATTGGTTCTTGGCCCTCAACCTTCACGACACACATTTTTATATTGCGATCCACAAATCTCACAAAAGAGTCCTACATTTTACTGTTGGTCAGGACCATTTATAGTACACAGTGCACGATTTCAGCCTATTTTCTTCCCCAGCGGCCTTTTCAAAAATTGTCAGTAGTAGGGGCATACCTCTGCAGAAAAGGAAATCTTGTGTTCCCTTATCTAGACAACTTCTGAAAGGTTGCTCCCTAGATGTAACTTCACGGGCATCTTGTGAAGCCACAGACCTCTTCCTCAGTTTGGGCCTATTATTGAACATTCAAAATGTCCACCTTGACCCCTGTGCAAAAGTTGGAATTCATAGGAGCGTGTCATTTTAGTCACTTTTCATAGTTGAAATAGTCCGGAAGGGTTTTGTGTTACTTTGCTATGTATTGGTCCACATTGCAGTGTACAGAAAGAGAAATGGCATGAGGCTGTTAAGATTAATTGCAGTACTGTAAATGGATATGCTCAAATGATATTAGTAAAACTGCCCAATGGCAAATTATTTTACTTTGCAGATCTAATGAAATAATCTAAATACATACTTTTGTTTAAAGGATGACCTTTCAGAAAAATGTTTTTACTTTGCTGTGCCACAAAGTCTCTCTTATTCTGACTGAAGAAAGGCAACTCTCAGCAAGAATCTAGAATGAAAATAGGTATTCTTAGGAAAATATAAAAATAAGAAAGGACTTAAGTCACTTAAGCCCTTCTGTTTATAAAATAAACAAGTACACTCTTCCATGACAAACAAATGGGAATTCTAATGGTTTAGCACAACTGAATATATGTAATGGCAATTTTCACTCATCTTGCAGAAAGAACTGTGCTACTGGTTTTCTTTTAAGCTAGACATAAAACATGATTGAAATATACTAAGCAAAAAAGAAGAAACCCCCCTTTTCAATAAAACTGTATGTTTTATTTGTCTTGAAGAAGTTGGAATAATAACCTAAGTAAAACCTACAGAAATACTTTATAACATCCCGATTAGCAACTAAATTTATCATACATATTGTTGAAAATCAAATCATTTTATACTTACCAATTTTATTGCAAAACACCTACTTTTCTAAGTAATACGTGAGCAGTTAGTTGAAACTGAATCGTTCTGACTTTCATATTTTCCAGATGCTCTGAAATTAACTCTCATAAACTTTATCCCTGGATTCATCAGTTTAGCAATAACAGGAGATCTGCTGATCAGATACGACCAGTTTATTTCCCTGATGTTGATCCCCACAGTCTTCCTTCTGGTGCAAACTTTTCTATGACAGCAGGGGATTTTCAAGAAATTTACTCAGAGTGCAGTAAGTAGAGAAATTAGAGGTCAGAATTCATGAACACACTAAATATAAACCCAGTATGGAAGAATAGAATTCTATTTAAAATTAAAATCAAATTATGGCTTGGATCATTAAAGTAGGCACTAAAGTTGTATATTACACCTAGATTCTTCTCAACCAAAATGAGTTGAATTGAAAGAAGCAAAAGTTATACGTGTGCTCTAGCATATTTAAGTGTCTAAATTGTATCCTTGTTGTAGGGTTATATATGCTCTGTTCTTTTAATGAGAATGGTGATATCTTGGACAACTTCCAACACTGTGATCTTTCGTGCTTATTTTCTTTCCTTGAATTAGAAGAGTGATTGATGTTAAAGAAATGCACAATATAAACAGCCTATGTTTTTCATGGATATAAATGAAGTGAAGTCTAATTATTTATTGTTACTTGATTTAAAAATAGACAACATGGCAAATTATTACTAAAACAATTATTTACAAATAAAACAAATAGATATTCATTAACTATCAATGACCAGTATTTCAAGGATGTGCAAAGGGATAATATTTATGAAAGATCACAATGTTCCTGTCAACACAAACATCCTTATTGTCATTTGTGAAATCTGTCTGGATAAATAATTTTTGTTGCAACTGATGAGGTAATTTTTCTCCCCCTAATTCATGTACAGAAGAGAACTGTATTTAAATATTTTCCACCTCAGTTCCTAGTACTAGTAAGACTGGAAGTGATGATGGATTTCTTACTTTTATCTGGAGGTTATTTGTCTATACAAGGTACTAAATAACCAGCTGGTGCTATTCCTTCCTTGCACTTGGCATACATGTTTGAACCCGCAATTATTCTCCTTGAGCTAGCAAGTTTTTGGCCTGCTTTTTTTTTTTTTTAGACCTTTGCCCTGCTTAAACACTGGTTTCTTAAGAAGTAGTAATATCTTTTCCCACAGGCATAGTGGCTTGTAGTCAGCCCCCTGCTACTGTTCAGATGTTTGTAGCTCAAACCAGGGAATGAAGGCTGTTGTAAGTCAGAAATAAATCTAAAAATAATTTTTTTAAAAAATATTTATTTGAAGGTAATAGGGCCTAACCTTTCATAACTTCAGAGAATATGGGTAGATGCGAAAAGGAAATCTGCACTTCAAAAGACTTTCCTTGTATCTATGCAAAGCATTAATTTAAAGAAAGGTTAAATACAATAGGAAATACAAAAGTAGAAATGTGTGGTTTTGGATAAAGATATTTCAAAGTGAAATCACCAAATATTTTGATGATGGGCAGCCTTCTGTTCTGGATTTTAAAAGTGCTAAAGAGGCCCAGAGTTCGGGTACATTTTTGCTTTCCTACTTTTGTGTACACAGTTGTGGTATCCATGCTCAAACAATTGAGTGTAAAATCAATTAATTAAATTAAAGTATCAGCTCTTGAGCCTTGCTTAATGGAAATCTGGCCCTAAGGGTATGTGTACACAGTGGTTCTTAAACTTATTTGATCATGCCCCCCTTCTTTGTATCTGTAGTAGTTTTACATCCCCGTTCCCGGCACACAAGTACATATACCAATGTGTATGGCAGCAGTGCTTCGCTCAAATCAGTTTCAGCTTAGTTTTTTGCATGTCTCTCTTCCCCCACCCCCACCCCCCTTCATGGCACGAGTGATCCATTGTAATAAGAGCAAAAGCAAAACTGTAGTTGTGGTCCGTGCTTACAATTAAATGCGCACACTGCATCGTAGCAGACAGATTAATGTACAGATGGCAACAACTTTGTATAATACTGTGCACGTTTAATGGAAATCTCAAAATGCACAGCACCATGTAGAGTCAAATGCAGAGGAATCCGCTTTGCTCTAGTTATTCATTGCTGTGGGTAAAATGTCCACAGGAAAGCTTCTCTCACCCCCCTTCCCTTGGATGTATTTTGCCCCTCAGTTTTTGAGAACCTCTGATCTACACTGCAATTAAAAACCCAGTGCTGGCAGGGCTCAGGGTAAGGGGCTGTTTAAATGTGGTATAGATGTTCAGGCTTGGGCTGGAGCCCATGCTCTAGGACCTACAAGGTTGGAGGGTCCCAGAGCTCTGCCTGCAGCCTGACCCTGAATGTCTGCCCCACAATTAAGCAGCCGGAGCCCGTGTCACCTATTACAGGCCAGCCCAGGATTTTTAGTTGCAGTGTAGGCATACCTTTATTGCCCTGCTTTTACAGTAATACAGTATTATTGGTTTTCTTTCAATAAAATGTTAGGAAATATTTAACTTCTAGCCATTCTCTTTACTGTTAGCTAAAGGTGATCTTAGGTGTGACTAAATATCTATATATTCTGATACTAAATGCTAAATACAAGCGAAGTCTGAAGTCTTATACAGAGGATTGATGTTGCAGCCGATCATGTGCACTCGATAATGTATTTTCTTTGTACAGATATGTGGGACTGCATAGCAACCTGCTTCTTCATAGATACAGCGCATAATGTCATTGATTACATTGATACAATATGGAAAATTCTCAAACCAGGAGGAATATGGATAAATTTAGGTAAATTGTTCATCTTCTTGCTCTCAGTTCTATTGCCTGGCATGACCAATGGCCCCTGGTGAGTGGGAGGAGCAGTTGCAGGGGAAGTCCTGCTCAGCATTCATAGCCATGGAATCTTCAGCATTTTTAACTACCCCATTCTCTCAAGCCTCTGTGCATGTGTCAACAGTGATTTTCAGATTCTTATTATTCAGCCAAATCTGAGTGAATTTTCATAAGGAAACAAAATGCATCTCCCTGGCCTGAGGACTGCACCCTCCAAAGTGTCACATCCATACTTCAAAGCACTGAAGTGCTCAGTTTCTTAAATTCTTTAACCATTTCTTTTTAACATTGGCAAAACAATGTACTTTTCCCCCAATCTTGTTCTCTCAGATGGCTGAACCATTTGTTGCTGAAACTTTAGTTTGTTAAAGCTGTAAGCAACTGAAAACGGGCTAATAATGAAAAGCGGTAGACAACCTAATTACAGGCACGGCTGTCAGCTAGCTCTACTTATCAGTTAGTTTTACAGCTCAGGGTGTGATATTTTTTTTTATTTGTTGATTTCATACTTATCCCAAATGCTACAGAGTTGACTTCATATAAAAGTTTAGATAAAAGTATACTTTTGACAATAAAATTGGTATTAGTGTTACTGAATCCCTTTATCTTTGTATTCTAGGTCCTCTCCTTTACCACTTTGAAAACTTGGCAAATGAACTTTCTATAGAATTGAGTTATGAGGATATAAAAAATGTTATATTACAGTATGGATTCCATCTAGAGGTACGGATAGATTGTGAGTAATGCTTATTGGAGTAGATGGGTCAACCAAAACTAGGCATATTAGGGCTTTTCCTTAAATGTTGTTTAATATATATTTTTAACTTTTAAGATGCTTACATGTTTATGTTGACAATTGTAGTTATATTTAAGCTGTCTGGTTTTTAATTAATTAAAGGGCAAATAACACTGACTGTAAACACATAACAGTGATGCTTGTTCAGAGGAGAAATACACATTTTGGAGGGAATTGCTTCAGGTGCTATTTCAGAAAATATTCTGAAAACTTCAATTTTTATTTTCAGGTGGAGAAAGAATCTGTATTGTCTACATACACTGTGAATGAACTATCCATGATGAAATACTACTATGAATGTGTGTTGTTTGTGGTTAGGAAACCAGAGTTGCAGTGTTTCAAATAGATTCTTCAGAAAAAATGCTGGAGATAATGCTAAAATTTACAACACACAATGGACTAGGTAATGACTGGATACAACCTCAAATCAGTGGTGCCTTGTTTATTCTTAACAGGAATTTGAGAGTGTCTATTTTCTTAATACCTGTATTGCTATCCAGATATATACTGTGCCATGCATATTTGTACTGTACTAGTGAAAATGGAAGAAAATGTACACATACACAGCCCTCATTCATCAGAATGCATACAAACATCCCATTTTCACAAGTATAAAACTCCTGTTTTAATGTCTGCCATGAGGTTGTCCTGATAAGACTGGTTTAATAATTATTCAATAGTACTGAAATCCAAAATAATTTCCCTTTTATCTGCAGCTGTCTGTAACATGCACAAGCTACAGCTCTCAGGATCTGTTGGAAAGGATGTACAATTCTATGTTTGATATCAGAACTGGGAATGTTATTTCCACTTTTGATCTGAGGCTTAAAACAAAAAATGTTTGTGTATTCTCCCTCAGTTTTTAAACAAAATTCTAATTGTTTTCATTTTTCCTTGTGACCTTATGAATGTTTAGAGGTATAATACAAGCTCAGCCACGGTTTAGAGAAGGATTTCTTAACATCAATTTAAAAATAGAATATTTACAAAATCTGAAATTATTGAACAGTGCTAAGAAGTTTCTTGAAAGCTGCATTTATTGTGACTTAACGCTCCCAGGACCATTTTCTATAGGACTGAAAATAGAAACAAAAGATAAAATATTTTAGAAACTATAAATTATAATTTTCTGGCCATGCTAAGCTTAGCAATCTATTCTAATAGTTTGTTGGCTTTGGTAATTTGAATATTGATATATGAAATCATAGTACGGAGTGAAGCAAAGCATCATGTCACAAAGGAATGGGAGTAAATTAACCTTGAAACAGAAATAAGACTTAGTCTGCTAATGCAGGAATTGCACTCTCACTTTGCCCATTTGAAGTTTATCAGTGTAACTTATCTGTTGCTTAAATAAAGTGTTTGAAGCATTTATTTTAAGGATTATTAGACAATAGAGAAATCCTGCTACTTTCTTTTCTTTTTAGAAAGCAGTTACACAGTTGGGACAACTGTGCCCAGAGTGTATGGCTGTGCTGTAATAATGGGGAGTCATTAAGTTTAAAATTAAGCAAATCCTGTGTTGTTCCTTTGCCTTGCACAGGAGCTGCCCCTGGTCTCTCTTTGCAGAGCTCATCCCTTACACCCTCCTTATACCTGCTGCTGGAAGCAGCTCCATCCCTTCCCATGATGGAAAGGCAGCTACTGCCTCCAGGCTGCTGCTGCCCACTGATACAAACCCAGGCTGGCTCACAGGGCACATCTAGAGCAGCAATCAGCTTGCTGTGCTCCAGCAGTGTCTCAAAGCCCTTTACAAGCCACATCGTGCTGCTGGGAGTGAGGTGGAGATCCCTCATTATACAGAGGGGAAGGATGTGTGTGTGCAGGGACTGCACCTGCAGCCCTGAGAAGTGGGCCCAGCTGCCTTGTCCCAGCTCAGAGTCCATCACCAAGCCAAGAATAGAGTCCAGGGAGCTGGGATCCTGTGGCTAAAGGCCTGGCTGCACTGGGAGTGTCTGGCCAAAGGTGGGGCTGGCCAGAGGGCAGGGAGCTGGTTTTGAGATGGGAGGTGTTGTGAAGCTGCTCTGCATTACACTGAAGAAGGCTCAGTAAGTGACACTGAGGCCATGGTGCAGTCACCAGGCCATATGGCATGCCCTCCCACCCGCACACATTGCCTCTGCTGCCAGGGTTCACTACAGAACCGTTAAATTGTGCCCCAGCAATATCAACAGTTATGAGGTGCCTCTACAGTAGCCCTTATATTTCTGATGTTCTGGTGTGAACCCTGGTAGAAATCTAGGGGGCACATGATTTCTACCCCCACTCACCTCTGGCTATTAGCAACAACTTCTATATTTGTTTCAGCATACCTAGGTTAATTGTTGGATATTTGATTGGAACTTTAAGGCAATTTACATGTGGTACTTTAAATCTACCTCTAATAATGTTTCCTTGTTCTAAGTAAGTTGCCTACTAAAGTAAATTAGATGGATATTAATCCACAGCTTGTAATTTCATACAATCATTTTGTATTTTGAAGTTATATAAATATTTTCTATGAGAATAATTATTAAATGACTTGTGTTGAGGAAGGATCAAATTAACTGCTTTGTTCTCTTTACATTAATCTAATGGTTAACTTAGCTACACTATCATCCCCTTTGAAAATCCTTTTAAAGGTAAAAAAGGTAGGGTAGAGAATCAAGCTGTTTCCATGGAAATGACACTGAATAATAGATTTGAAATTTATGGTATTTTAAACTCACACTCTCATTCATCTAGCTGTGTTAACTTTTTCTGGGCATTGATACGGTCATTTTTAGCTTTCTGTTTTTAAGGCAGATACTTTATGCTTCCAATTTTGCTTTAATTGAAAGTACAATTTTAAAGTTCACATGGGCAAAAAGGCATTTACTATTTTAAATGCTGTCTAGGAGCATAAAGCCTGCATGTTTGTAAAAACTGTTCTGCTCAGATCCCTATCCAGAAACCATATTGGACTAACAGCAGTTTTCAATAAGGGTTTACTTGCAGGTAGTCTGAACTTTCTAAAAGGAATCAGATTTTTGCTTTTTTAATAAAAATAAATTAGTCCAATCTCAACTAAAGCCCATTGAAAGCTTAGATGCTGTCCTTAAGGGAAATAAAAATAAATAAACTCGTTCTGCCTTTAGAAGGCAACTGATGGTCTCCTGTGGCTTTTTTCCCCCTGTACAATCTACTCTAATCCTTTATAGATAGATACATTCAAAAAGCCTTTCACATTTTTAAGTTTGTTGAAAAAAGGCACATTTAGGGTAAATGTTGATCATACCAGTCCCTTTAAACCTGTATTATTGTCCAATTGCTCTTGACCTTTTAAGTCAGTCTGCATACTGTGTGGTACTGATTTTATTTAGATAATCCTTACTAGAAGTGCCAGCTTTCTCTAGCCCAAGTCTAAATTGTAAGTAGTCCCAGTCCTAGAGCTAGAACGCAGTTATGCCAAAGCAACAGCAAACTTTGTAAAGGGATAAAGCTGCAAAAAGGTGAATGCAGATTTGAGCTTCATCCCCAGAGATACTATGTCCCTAACGAGGGATGTACTAAATCCCTCTTTATGTGACTGGTATGCCCACAGCTGGACCCTGGTGGTGAATTGTAGGTGCCACCCTGGGCCAAGATAAATACAGTGGCTGAAGTGTAGCTCCTCTGTCCTGGGCGGGATTAAATCAAATCAGCACTTCTCAGCTCTAGTTTATAACATGGGTCCTAAACACCTGGACGCCGGTAAATTACAGGTGGTTAGTGGGGTTGTGTAGCTTCGGGCCCGCGTTACCCTACGGGGTAGCTACACAACAGGAGGGAGTTCCGAGGCGAGCAGCTAAACCCGAGAAAGGCACGGGACGGGGTGACAGATAAATGACCAGCCGGGCAAGAGGTTCACGCGGTAATAGTCAAAACGCGTGGCAGTGTCTAGTCTCGCCCCTGCATTGTCGTGGAGTTGTCGGCCATGACGGCTTCCAGCCCACCACCGCGCACCAGCGACCTGGCTGCATGCGCGCTCCCCCTAGAGGGCACTACGAGACGCGGAAAGGGAGGGAAGGACAGAAGCCTCCTTAAGCCGCATGCGCGCCTAGCCCCGTTCCGCCCGCTGGGAGAGAAGTGCTTGCGCCCGCGCGCGCCACGGAGGTACCGCCGCTCCAGTGCTTGAGCCGCTCGCGCTCAGCCGCCTGATGGCCAAGCGACACGCGGAGCCGCTAGTGTGTCACGTGCCCTGGAAGCGTTTCCTATCCGAACCGCCTCCGCTGCTCCGCGCGCCCGGGAGGCGCCCGCGGGACGGCCCCGAGCTGTGGAGCCCTGTCCGCGCGGTACCTGGGGACCCTGACAAGAAGCGGAAACTGGAGGAGGCCGAGGCGCCTCCGGGGAAGCGGCCTGGACTCAAGGGCAACAGGCGCGGGGGGGAGCCCGGAGACCCCGCCAGCCCGGGAGGGAGGAGGCAGCAACAGCGCGGGGGAGACGTAGGGCCCCGGGCGGAACAGGCGATGCGGGCAGGCGGTGTCGGCTTGGGGGCGCGAAGCCCGGATCCTCGGGGGGAAGAGCGGGGAACCGAGGAGGTAAAGGTGGGGGAGGGGTGGTGCTGATCAGGGTGGGCTGGCTGTTAGGGCTTCGGGAGAGTCCCAGCCTGCAGCCCGGGCTCAGTTCCGGCGCATCAGGGCCCCTGTGCCAGGCGCTGCACGCACTGAGGGGGGGACACCCAGCTCCTCTGTGGGGTGTCTCCCGCATGAGTAACAGCCTGGTAAAATCCGTGCAGAAAGCAAGTGTGTCCTTCTCATCCCCAGCTTCTCCCTTCACACCAAACTCTCTTAAGTGGCCACATAAGTCACGTGCCATTACTGGGTGTGGCCAGCAAGTGTTGGGTTTATTTGAAACATCTGGTGGTTGCTCACTGTCCAGGTACAGTTGCTCCTCCCAGCTACTTCTGTGTAAATCATGTTTGAAGGTTGAGCTTTACTATCTCTGCTTTTTAACATAGCATCTTTTGTAGCTGGACCAAGTTAGTGTTTCACTACACAAGTGATTCTTCAGCTGGGCAATATATAAAGGTTATTTGCATCAGTCTCTAACCACAAAGCCATAGGTGCTGGAACTAGGGTATGCTCCAGCATCCCCTGGCTTGCAGTAGTTTCCATGCATGTGGTATACAGGGTTTACAGTTTGGTTCAGTTGCTCTCAGCACCCCCACTATACAGTTTGTTCCACCACCGCTGCACAACATTTACTGGTTTAACACAGTGCACAGACTTCACTCTAATTTTAGCTAGATAAGGTACCTTACTCTGTATTTCTAAGATTTCTGTGTAGCTTGTGCCTCCTGTAAATGGAGTCTTCCATGGATTACTCATGTCTCCTTCAGGGGTCTTTCATCTCACTGGGACACTACAAGGACCTGTATCACCACTCTCCCTCTCTGTACTCATTCTTTAGGCAGAAGGTAAAACCCAACTTTTCCGGAACGCATGACAGTTTAATTTGACTTCACTTCACCATTGGAATACACACAAGGAGGAGCCCTAAAGATATACCATGTTAATGGCTGACAACATTTCTGGATTACTAAATCCAAAGAGTGGAGGCTTCTCAGAGACTAATTTTTCACTGAAATTTTTTCCTGGCACAGCTGTTCTGTGCAGTGCTGCCAGAGTGGCCCACATGAAGCAACAGGTCCAGTGGGAAGATGTCACAAATAAGTATCAGTTCAATTATTATTATGATAAAAGTGCAATTTGCAGATCTGTGATACTGTCCATTATATGCAATATTATAATGTAGGGGGAAAGTACATACTTCTAACCTGTTGCATATCTTTAAACCTGTGGTGAGGCAGAAAAATAAATGATTTAAAAAATGAAACTAAATGGCAATGGTAGGCAAGAGTTCCACAACACTTAACTTTTGCTGAAGGAAATTCCTAAAAGCAACTGTAAAACCTCCTCCCCAATTATAAATCATAGAAGCTGGGGGTAGAAAAGATCTATTAGTTCATCTCCCTGCCAATTTAGATGTTTTAACTGAAAATAGAAGCCTTGACCAAATTAATGGGGAATTCTTGGAGACTTAGTGTTTTTGAAAATCGGGCTAATTATAGACTTAAGGCCCTAGTTTTAGGTACCCATTTTTTAAAATCTGAGTCCTTGAAGACATAACTATGTTCAATTGAGAGCTGTGTTGCGCTTTCTGATTTCCACATACAGTGTCATGTTCTCTTCTCCTGCTCCTTTTTCTTTCCCTCATGGTAGAAATGTACATATGAAATGTGTAGAATTATCCCACAAATGAAGTGAGGAAGGATTTTTCAATCCAATGGAAAACCCATACTAGGCCAGGCTTCGTACAAGAACATATCTCTATTTGGAAGGAGAAAAGACAGACTCCTTCCTCCATTGAGTATT